CACACACACACACACACACACACACACACACACACACACACACACACACACACACACACAGTGTTTTATAGAGTGAAGGGAACATTACGACATGGAACCAAAATCTGAGTGAAATGCAACAAAAGAACAATGGTATGCAGACACAACAATATTTATATCAGTTGCACCAAATAGTCCTGTTTTCCTTTGCTCATTGCTGTGTTGAGACATTTCAAGTCATGCTATAGCTGTTTATAGATTGTTTTTTTCCAAACCGAGCCCTTTCTTCTTTTATTGCGCTAGGCTAATGGCCGCGTCCAAGTTTTTCTGTATACACAACACCTCATTGAAGTTTGTCTCTCCTGGAATTTAGTCAGGGAGCAAGAACGGCCCTTTCTTTATGCGTTATTAAAGTCAGCTGAAACATATTTGAGCATTATTTAGATCTTAAAATGAAACCTTGTGTTATAACAGTACATACAGTATGTAGAGTTAAAATGACACTACCTGCTATTCACTATTTCTGGGTTAAATCCTGATAAAACTGATGTAATTATTTCAATTTGTATAATTTGGATATAAAGGGAGAGAATTGGATTGGAAAGTTTTGTTGCTCGTACATCAAAGGTTGTGTATTGCCTAATTATGTCATGCTATGCTTGGTTTTATGTTTTAGGGTTGGAAAACGAAAAAAGTATGAGACATTATTGATTAACGAGAACCTTTCTTTTCCTTTTTTTAAACACATATGCCATTTTCAATCATCTTAAATGTATTGTTTTTCCTCTGTGTCCAGGTTCACCCATTCTGGCCAGTGAAGATCGTGTTTTGGGGGGAGTAATTGTCTTGCGATGTTGCAGATGTGTGGAGGCTCAGCCGTCTCAAAATTTTCAGGGTATACTGGGTAAGATGTTAATAATTTCAAGACTTGGCTGGTTAAATTGACAGGTTGGTAATAAAATGGATAAACAGACAAAAGTCGTCTCTTTTCGTGGCAGCTGCCAGCATCAGATGGTTCGTGAGCCATATATAAAAACTTTAAATCCAAGCAGACGGTAGTAACACTGGTGTCCAGTCCATCTCCTCCGTGCCTGCGACGGCATCATTACAGAAATTTACGTTACATTTTTTTGATTGGCAGCTGGAATTTAATTTACAGCTGTTCCCTAAATGCCGCACATGGCTGCAGTAGTTATGAAAGTACAAAAACAAGAAAAAGACAACTTTGATCCAGACTTCAAACTCGACACTGCAATTCTTTGGGTTCCTTGCAGTGCACCCACCAAGAGGGAAGTGGTTAGGATGAAGTGTCGTTGAGAAATGTGAAGAAAGCACAGACATAGGGTGACTCCTTGATTTATTAGTGAGATGTTAAGACAGAAGAGAAGGCACTGTGGCTTTCCTGGCAGGTGGTCTGTGTTTTAACTTGCACAATCAGGCTTTGGTTTCACACCCTTCATCTCAGATTTAAGCAGAGACCTCCCACTATGGAATCAACCACTAATCTTCAGAGAAGTGGAGGCCTTCTGAATACTGCCAACTGATTGTATTGATAGATTTGGTTTCTCTGCCCAGAGCTTAGGAGAATGATCCTACTTTCTGGATTTCTACTATTATGGAGTTGACCTCAGTGCTCATTGTGTCCAGTTCAAAGTTTGGGCTCTTTATGTTTTCATAAATCTTTTGTTTTAACTCCAAATCATGGAGTGCAACATAAAACATTAAGTCTGCATGGATAATAAAATATTTTCAGTTGACACTGAATGATGTGCAGACCCCGTTTTGATGTTGTGTACGTAGCGCAGCTTTTGTGCTGTGTCACCTACCACAGATTGCTGTTGATTTACATGAATAAACATCATGTCGACCACATCCTTTTGGTGCAGTAATTGAGTTTACATTTCACCTCTCAAGTTCTGCTATTCTATGCAATTATGTCACAACTGCCAGTCATATATTTTCATTGTAATGGGCATGTTCGGTGCTAAGTCCACCGGCTCACCCGCCTGATGTTCTTCTTCGGCAGGATTACTCATTTCTGTTCGCTTTAGGAAATCGAACCTTTCGTTCTGTATGGTTTCCTGTTTCTATCAAACCTTTGCTCCGGCTGCTAAATCTGTGTATGGATATTTGTGTATGAAGACTTGGTGTTTGTAACCTGTATCTGTCTTTATTTACAGTGGAGTTCCTGTGGAGTCACACCACAGAGAGCATGTGTGTTGGCTACATGTCTGCTCAAGATAGCAAAGCAAAGGTGAGATTTGAATTAGCCAACCAACTAAACTGAAACATATTATAATTAAATACAGTTTTAAAGTGAGCTTACAATGGTTGCATCTTTGACCAATGCCAAAGGCTTAAAGCTGGCTTTAAATAGCTTGTCTCCTTTTTTTAACTTTCAGTTCAAAGATTTTTTGGTAGTTTGTGGAATATGTTTCGGTCCTGTGCATCGGGAACTTTTGCCCACGTTCACCAAACAGGAGCCACATGGGTCCACCCTCCTCCCTCAAGAGGGTCCAGTGCTTTTTGAGTTGAGTGAATGAAATGAAGCATATTTTTGTATTTTAGCCGAGCACTTTTTATTTAATTTCTTATGAAAAACAAAAAACTTTTTCTTTTCTTTTTTTTGCGGTGGGGTGCATTGTGTATTGGTATGGTATACTGGGTAATAAATGTCACTTTTATGTCTGCTGTCGTAGAATGATATTTAAAAAAGGCATCTCTGAGCCCTTTTAAGATATTGTTTTACATAAATGCTGTGGTTTCTTAAGCAGTAGGGGCCAGTGGCCTGGTCTCCTGGCTCTAAGTGGAGTCTCAGCTCGCACTGATTTGTTTGGCTAATGTATCTTTGTCACTCTGTATGAAGAGAGGGCACTGTTGTTGAAGTCTGGTTCAGATTTCAAAGTGTTTGTCCTGTGTCCCCTGGCTCCACCTCACTCACTCGTCTTTTCCACCCTCTCTCTCTCTCTTTCTTTCCCTTTATTTCTCTCTCTCGTGGTCTGCCTCTCTCATCACCCTCTCTCTGTGGCCACTACCTGGTCTTAAAGTACCATAAAGTTTACAGAAAGTCATGCGCCACTGGGGATATCAGTATCAATCTGCATATTTGTCAGATGTGCTCTGTGCATGGGGCTCTGGGATGGAATGTGAGCTTGCATGCTGTCCTGTCATGGCAGTGCCAATAGAGAGAGGTAAGCAGAGGACAGTGAACATAAAGTCCCTGTTTGTAACTCTGTTTTGTTTGCTTTGTTATGTTCAATTTGCAGTCCTCCACCCGCTCTCCCTCCGCCCCACACACTCACATAAAGTTAACATGTGGGGTGGGTTTACTGCTGCTACAGCAAAATGTCAGTTCCATAATCATTTGTGAATGATTCAGCCATAAATAAAGTACAACATCAAAATCCATCTGCTGCTATTTTTTTAATGTCAGTGACAGGTAGGAGGCATTAAATCATCACGTGACTACTGAAGCACAATATGTTTTGATATTAACCAGATAATAGAGAAGAATTTGATTCCCAAGACAGCTAGCGTCACAAAAGCAGGATTCAAATGTGGTGGTCTTTTACTGTTCCACACATTTTCTTTTTGCCCCTTTGGCTCAAGCTGCTGTGTTGACAGAGTTCGAAGTAGTGCAGTGTGCTCGGGAAGAGCATTTGTAGGCTACCCTTTAATCTAAACAGCAGAAACGTCTAGGGTCTGGGTCCCAAAGAAGCACTCAAGTAGCTTTAAAATCTACTGTGGTGAAGTCACCAAGCATCACTCCATTGAGATATGCATGCAAAAATGTTCTTTGTAAAGTGCTTGTGCTCAGTGGGTGGAGATCCAGAAATATCATCTGTCAGTAGTGGTTTCTGGGTCTCTTGGGGGAGGGTATCCACTTCCTCTTGTGGGGCAATTGGTGATACAGTGATATTGGAGAGTGCAGCCAAGAAGACAGCTGCTCCACCAAATCTCACACGGCTCTAACAGAGACTGAGTAGCTTGTTGTTGTGAAACTGAAGTTATGATGTGTCTCTGTGCCTGACCATCTGCATACCAGAGCAATGTGGCTATCCTGTCCTTTATGCCTACTGAGAACAGAGCCAAAGAGGAGCACTTTAATGCTGCCGGGCTCCAGTCGTGTCTCCTGTGGTCTCTAGAGTATGGAGGCACAGGAAGTGCCACCTGCGTGTCTTTACGGCAGACCTGTGATGATTCTGGCTAAGAGGCAGGAAGCAGAAGAGAATAGGCTATGAGTTTGGGGGACATAAGTCATCTTGAGAGGGAGTATTCAGTTCAGTTTAGGTCTTACTTTGTAAGAAGAAAAATTTTAATTTTAATAGTATTTTGGATTTATCAAGGAGCCAATTGAGAGAAGCTAATATGGGAGAAATATCATTTCCTTTTCACGTCCTGCTGAGTACTTTTGCCTAATAATGCATTACAGTAGTCCAGTTTAGAATTTTAAACCTTCGGACCGAACAGGATGTTTCTAATTTTAGCAGTAGAGAGCAGATGGAGGAAGGCAGTCCAGTGTATTTGTTTAATGGGACTGTTATAGGATATATCCTCATCAAAAATGCTCCAAAGCGCCTCACACTAATATGGAAGGCTAAGGTCAAGCTATCAAGAATTAAGAACCAGGTTAGAAGGCCAAGTCTGATAACTTTTGTCTGAATTTGAAAGCAGAAAATTAAACATCATTCAGGTCTTTATGCCTTTAAGAGTTGCCCATACTTTAACTAATGTATTTGTAGCATTTGACTTCATAGATAAATACAGTAGGGTGTCATCTGCATAGTAATGGCATTTTCAAATAAAATTGGCCAGGGGAAGCAAGTATAATGCAAAGCCTTAGTCTTAGAGTCTAAATCTTGCTCTTTAGCACCAGGAGCAGAGCAAGTAACAGGGAATGAGTGCCTCTAGTGAAGATTTGGCTGACTGTGTTGCTGTAAATCTGTTATAAAGAAAATCAGTTGTATGGAGTCATATTTTGATTTGATTATAGTCGGCTGGCCTAACATTTCTGAGTTTAAGCCAATTTTCTGTGCATTTGGTTGCCTGTTTTCTAAGCATAAAGAGTCACAGCCATACACTGGTTCAGCTGCTGTTCAGCAGACATTCCTCCCATTCCTATTCGCTGGGCATTTCAAACCACCCAGAGTCCATCTACCGCTGCTTTTCCATGATAAGAACATGAAAGAGCTGAGCAGGAGTATTTAGGCCAGAGGTCAGGTTGGATTTCTATTCTTTTACAGTGTTTTAGTGAGATTTACATGCATGTATTTTTTATGACCGATCAATATCTAGATTGAATTGCTGCAGGCCAGTCAAAAAAAATCTCAGGCCAGATTGTTTGACACTGCTGGAAACTCTGCTCCGGTTTTTCTTTCTTCTCAGTCAGATGTTGTTTCTAAGGAAAGAAGTCGAGTCTGCGTCCTAATCTTTTAGACGTTAGACTGTGAAATGGCAGCGGTGCAGAAGAGTGAGAGCATCTGGTTTTATTCAAACACTCACCTTTGTTTGCATTGGATAGACATCAGAACATCAAGCTGTGTTTTACAGAAACACACAAAACTGCACGGACAAGCCAGTGGCGGTACTTCTGAAACGGACCATTGTTATATGATGATTGTCATGATTGGACAGATGAAAGAGAAGTAAAGGATCCACAACACAGCGAATATGGCTCGGTTTCCTCCTTGTGGACATCATTACCACTATAAAGATTTTTAAGGCCAGACACAATCAAATGGCGTGCAACTCAGGCCTTATGGTTATTGTCTGCTTTGTGCATTACACGACAGACGTCTTTTCTCATGTTACATGCTGTTTTTATTATCCATTTTGCAGGGAGAATAAATAGCATATGATTGTTTTTGTTATTTATTTTTATATTTTCAAAGAATGTGGAAACCACAAGAGAAAAACAACAGCGTAGTCATAGAGCTAAATTTACCCTTTGGTCTATGCTGTGGTGTTAATGAGTGGCTTCTCCTCACTCCTAAACACATTCATATCTCCAAAGAATGTTGTTTTTCTCTGACAGATACAATGGAAATGTGTTTTTCATGTGATATTTTAACTCAGTCGTAGTCCTGTCATGTGGTCGCTTTAGTCACAGGGTAACGAACTGACAAGAGGCTCACTGTAGGTTTGCATGCTGTCATTTTCTTTCTGTCTGTCCTGCCCCGCTGTCACATAATTCTACATCTCATTGCTTTACTTTTAACCTGTCTGGCTTTTATATTTAGCTTGTGCTGCTTTTTGCAAGCCTGGGTTTTGCATCAAGGAATCATTGCAAACTAAACTGGAAGACAAGTTATGTTGGGGATCGCCAACAGATGGTGTTACAATCACAGTTACAAGCTCCTGTTTTTAATTAAACTGGTTATCACCGGTTGCTGTCAAGTGAATTGGTCACTGATATTGACTAGCACAGCGACAAGGTTTGAGTCTTAGCATTTGTATTAATGAGCATAATAGCTAAAAGAATGTATTGTTTTTGTTCTTGTGAGTCAAATTACTGCTGCAGACTAAAATAAGTTATTATCAAGGTGATAAGGAGTATTTTTTTCAACTGATGGTAGTCACTAAGTTTGGAAAAGGCCTGTATACACTCACCGTCCACTTCATTGGCTACTTTTGCCAATGAAAAGTCTGAAGGCAAAAGGGCCTCGTGGCAGAGATTCAACGAGATGCCCGACATTTTTCATCAGAGAGCATTTTTTCAGTCTTCTATTGTTCCATTTTTGTGAGCCCATGTGATCTCTAGCCCTGGTTTCCTGTTCCTAGCTAATTGCATTGACATCGAGTGTGGTCTTGTGCTGTTATAGCCCATCTGCTTCAAGGTTCAGCAGTCAAAGATGCTCTTCTGCATACATTGGTTGTGGTTATTTGAGTTACAGTTGCCTTAGGTCAGCTTGAAGCAGTTTGACTATTCGCTTCTGACATCGACGAGACCTTTTTACCCAAAGAACTGCTGCTCACACGATGTTTTCTCTTTTTCAGACCATTCTCTGACAACCCTAGAGATAACTATGTGGGAAAATCCAAGCACATCAGCAGTTTCTGAAATGCAGGCCAGGCCGTCTGGCACCAGCAAACATGGCACATTCAAAGTCACTTAAGCCACGTTGCATTCTGCATTCGTCAACATTCTGCTGCTCAATTTGAATTTCAGCAGGTCGCCTTGACCATGTCTGCATGCCATGTGATTGGCTGATTAGGTATTTGCATTAATGAGCAGTTGAAGTACCAGCCCATAAACCGTTAAGCATTTAACCAAACATCGAGGTGGAACGGTTGTTTATTTACAGTATTTCTGTTTGCAGTTGTTTCTCCACACTTCACAGGTTGTAGTGTGTTTTTTTTCATTCATACCTCCCTTTTTAAAATCTAATATTTATACCTTTTTAGTTTTTGATTATTCCTCCAGATAGAGAGAGACCTTTTAAATATGAGTGAGCTTTTTATTGTTTGCACATAAGGCTGCAGCGTAATTTGTCCGACTTGTGCCACCAAAGTGTCGGGACATCTGTTGTGTGATTTCTGAGCCTGAAGCATCCTCGCTACTTTGTCCCAGTTCATGTAAAACACATGCAGTGCTCTTGGCCCTGCAGTGCTGTCATTACTCACTTGTTTGGTTTACTGAGCCTTTGACTCTTCCTGCTGACTAAGTCGCGCTGTCCTTTCTGTCAGCTAAAAGCAAAATTAAGATCTGAACATGTGGCACGAATTTGAATCGGAGTGGAAGCAGGGCACAAGATCATTGTCAGACACAAGCACGGATATATGCATTGAGAAAGCTAGCAGGTAACTGCACACAGTTTGAGCTGTATAGTCAGTGAGGTAAAGACGTGTTTTTTTCTCCTTGGCATGCAAACATCTGAAGGAAAACATTTAGCTTGTCAACATTAGTTTATTATAACTCACTACAGACCTTCACTCAAAACCATTTAAATTAGGGCTTTCCTTAACCTTGTCCTCAGAAAATGAAGGGAAGAAGATGAGTCCAGAAACGTGTACTGGAGGCAGAATGGGCCCCTCAGAGTGTTACCATGTGTGCGTGGCCTTGTCTGGCTGTTGTCCCATTGAAGTGACAGTTGCCCTCAGGGTGCTCTGGGCCATAGTCGCTGGCTACACAGAAAAAGACCAGTAAAGTCCTGGAACTGAAAGAGAGATGTCAGGCCAGTTCAGTGCCCCGGTAAATAAGTGGCTGTATTATTCCCCTAAGGCTAGAGCCAGCGTTACCCTCTGTGGGAAGAGAGGAAGGAGCATGACAGCCATTATTGGCGCAGGGAGTGTCGGTCACCTTTGATCCCCCAGTGGAAGTATCACTCCCGTCTTCACAGCTGTGTTTGCCCCTTCCCTCCTCTTCTTACTCCTTTTCAGTGTTTGCTCAAACGAAAGAAAAGAAACTCAAAAAAAGAAAACACCAGCAGTTTGTTCTCTTTCTCCGTTTACTCTGTGTCTCTGCAAACACCGACTTGGCACCTTTGGACTTCAAAGGTAAAAATGCATGATGGCACAGTAGTAGTGTGTGTTTTTGCTCCCTCTGATTGCATTGTATTTATTTTTTCTAGCTTCTACTTAGATGTGTCCTTTCATGTAGCGGTTTACACATTTGCCTAAAAAGGGAAAGATCCTTGGTTTGATCCCAGGAGGAGACACGAATTCCTTGTGGGATTGTGTCAGGAAGGGCATCCAGCGTAAAGATCGGTCACATCAAACACGCAGAGCTATCTGCTGTAGGGACCCCTTGAATGATCCAAAAGTAGCTTCTTACGTAGATACTTTCTCAACATTTCTGTTTACCCACCAAGCAGTTAAAAACTTCATTGTGGTTGTGTGGTTTGGTTGTGCCGCTAATCTCCGGGAGCTGTGCAGCATCAGGCGTAATGGGTTTGGGTGCTGGTGTTGGATTTGGAGTTCACTGAGTGGGATGCAGTAGTTAAGCTCGGTGCTAAGCCACTCTCACCAAATACTGGCTCAGAGGAAATTGTTGGGCTTTTCTCTGAAATCGGTATTAGAAGACCTTAGTTTGTAAAGTGCCCTGAAAAAGCTTATGTTGTTCTTTGGTGCCAATTGAACTGAACTTTGATGATTGTACAGGAATCTAAGAAATCAAAATCCTATCAGCATTTCTTTTTCTCCATATAGATCTGCCTTTTTCTTTTTCTCATTGTGTGAATGTTTTCTTTTGCTGCCTGCAGACACACATATCCAGATTGCCACCTGGGACAGTTCCTGGACAGTCTTTGGCCATCGAGGGAGGGGTGTGTCGGCTGACGGGTGTAGTGGAGTGAAGCGTGTTTTCCTTCCTTCTGGGCTTCTTCAGCAATACTCCAATATAAACTCTTCCATCCACCCTCAAATACACACACACGCACACACACACACACACACACCACCCTCACCTCCCCATGGCCTTTGTGATGCCAGAAGTAATAAGGTTTCGCTGTTTAAACAGGTGTCCAGGAAGGAGGGAGGAGTGTTGGCTTCTACTTAGTGCACTTACAGGACTTCCCTTTGCCACTGTCTGCCTCCAGCATGTACTCTATGCCAATTTATCCCCGAGCTCTCCAGTGTCACCTGGACTAGACTTGATGCACCATTGCCTTGATGCGCCGTTTTATGTTCTTTTCTTCGTTACTGTTTTTCAACTAAAAGTGGCTTCTTTCCTTTTGTATATAAGCTATAATTTTGTTTTGTTTTTTGGCAAAACAGGGTGGATATTCATATTATTTTATATTACTGAACAGATGTGACTATTTTCAAACTTTTAGGAATTTCAAATGCAAAACCTTGTTGCGTTTTTCAAATACTTTTCAATGTTAAAAAGATGTCAGATTGCACCGAGTGGAAGGCCTGCGACTCGAGGTTATCAGGAATGAAGAATTAAAGCTGCAAGGGTTGGACGGTGACACAAAGCCTACTTAGTTTTCCACGTACAACTTCCACACATACTCGTACACACATGCTCTTATTAATCCTCCAGCGTATTGTTTAATGTAGCATCATGTGCATCTTTGATGAACTTTCTAACCGTTTCAGCCATAGACTTTGCTTTGCTTTATTTTTGTTTTTTAAATGTGAATACTTAGATACTGCATGTGCAAAATCCACAATAAGCCACTTTCTTTTCTCTGATGTGCAGAAATGCTCAAGAAGCAGGAAGCTATGCACTTCCAGAGTGATGCTTATATATACATATATATCTATATATAGTGCTCAGGCAGCAACATTTGACCCAAGCGCCAAACAGGACTGTTAGTCATCATATAGAAATCGCAGTTTATATTTGTACAGTCCCAGTGACAGAGACGTGTATTTTCTTGCTAAAACAAAGTACAGTTAAAAACTAATGTATGCATCAGGCCCATGAAATGGTGCTGTCGAGAATTGTACTTGAAAAGAATAATTGTCTGAATTGAAACTTTTGTTGGGATATTTGGTTTCTCTGGTTTTGCTTCTTTTCTTTTTTTCTTTGCTCAGACTTTCAGTCCCAGCGAAACCACGGTATAGCTTCTTTATTGTTTACTTGAAAAAAATGCAACTAATATAAAATGGTATAAGCTATGTAAATCATACGTGCACCGCTTTCTAAAGTGCTCAGAAGGTAAAATAAAATGTATGTTGCTACGTATCCGCGTCTGTCTTTGAGTCCTTTTAAACTCCACGGCATGAGGCGTATTCTCCCAGCCGTACCTTTTTTCCGAAATAAGACGCTCACTGCTATTTGGAGAGCAGTTTGTGTAAGCCCTCGCAGACAGAATAAATATAATCTAAAGTGTGGACTCCCAAAAATGTATAGTCTGAGAATAAATTACATGCTGGAAAGTAACTGAAATGGGAACAGAAACTCTGCAGGAGGAGGAAAGAAAAAGTAGAAGAAGAAAAGAAATCTGTGTTGGTGAAGGCATTGAAATTTTCCATTTTAAATGTTTCTCAAAATGTGTTTTCTTCTTAAGTTGTATTGTTTTGATCCCTCATAAATAAACATTTTGAGCCTCTGATTGGAGAGAGAAGCTATTTATGTGATTTGTATCAGGCTCCGGGGCAGGGCTCGTCAAAGTGCTAGCCCTCGCTCTGGATTGTGGTCACTGTAGTGTCTAGGAGGAATGTGCAATAGAGCTGCTCAAGAAGATAAATATATATTTGTTGTTTGAAGGCAGAAATGCCTCCCTGTCAGTGCACCGTGCCTGCTTGTGGAATGCTTCCCAGCCAGTTTTCCAATCACATGGAACAGGTTACAGTCATTAGATGTTGGTGAAGTGGAATAATATGCAGGAGTTGGATGGCGAGGTTGCTTTGGGAGGTGCTGTGCGTGTTTGTTTTTATTCCACACTTGCCTCACCCTGGGTTTCATCTCGAGAGTCCATCCAAATGGACACGTGTTACCTTTCCCCTCACCCACCCTCCCAACATTGTCCGTCAGCTCGATCATGTGTTATTACAGAGCGCCCCCCTTTTTCATCAAAGCTAATCTGTGTTGCCGGGAGACCCTCTGCCCCATTCAGCTCCAAACCTTCGCCTTCAAACATCATCCCTCTTCGTCCTGAATCCCCTTAGCTTTGAAAAAAGATCCTGGGTCTTTAAAAAGTGGACCGTGATCCTGAGCCATTCAAGGTGTATCCAGTGCCTCGCGCTCAGCAAGGCTCTTAAATGCAAAACAGACGGTGGAGCAAATAAAGATCAAAGGCAGCAGCCTTGCCTGTCTGGCTTGCTGTCCTCACATGCCAAGCGGTGCTGTCACAGTGAGTCATGGCCTTACAGCTTCCGTGCTCATGCTGACTCCCCTCCTTCACCACCTCAGGGACACCATCCCGTCGACACCGCTTTTGCTACTTTGTGCCAGTGTCTAACATCAACACGTATTCACAGAGGGGGTTGAAACCAGGCAGTGCACGTGGCTCCCTTAGAAACGAGCCACGGTTTCAATAGTTCTGCAATAGTTTTACTCACTGAGACCTCACAGCTTTTATTTCCCTTGTTTCCTATATTGATTTCAAAGATGTTGTGTGTGGTACTTGCATTATTATTATTTCTTTGTTAAGATCCGATTGATTTAAAATGAACTCTGTCTTTTCAAATACTCTACGTTTGCTGTTTTTTAAAAAAAATGTATTTATTGTCTCATATCTTTTTTTTTTTTTTGTTTAAATTGTGCATCTCTTAAAAAATCAGCTCTGCAAAGTTGTGATCAGTGCACAGTTCAAACCAGCAGATCTTCAAGTGGACCAGACTTTGCCAGTACAGAGCTTGTATGTCTTTAAGGCACTTCCAGTGTCATCTCTGTAACTGGAAGACCGTACTCCATGTATGTTTTGTAGAAGGTGTCTGTGGGATGGACACGTGCATGTGGATTTACTTTTGACCTATAGAGGGAATGAGACAAGAGCAGGTGTCACAAAACGTGTGTTCATGAAGTTGCTCTGTCATCGTTCTGCCTCAGATGCTATAGCCGAGGATCATGCCCTCTCAGCAATGTCATCGCAGCAGGGGTTGAGCAAGGCACCGTTCTCAGAAGTTCCATATCTGCTCGACCTGTTTGTTCAGCTGTACGAGCAGGCACTTACGCCCCTATGCCCCCATGACCCACTCCCTCCTGTGTCGCTGTGCCACAGATGAGAGCCTGTGACGGGCAGAGTGCCAACGGCCCGTCCTGTGTTACAAGCGGAGCATTGCTGGCGAAGGTTGGGGTTGGGAGGTGGAGAGAAGGTGGCTGCTAGATAAGCAAACGCCTGATCCAGGTCAGCTATTCCAGATTAGAAGACGAAAGACTAACCTTTTAATTAAGTTTGCCGTGCAATTAGAGCCCTGCGGTATTGTGGCCCAGACACTTCCTGCATTGTGCTACACCACCCATAAAGTAGCAGAGCTAAGGCGGCGAGTGAAGGAAAGTGAGGGAGAGAAAGAGAGAGGCTAAAAATGGCCCCACCACATCTGCACCACACCACAAAACAAAGAGATGCCCAATTGCCACCATATAACCGGGCTCTTTAACTCCCAAAGCATGGCAAACAAACCACCTGAACTTGTCTTAATGTGAACCATTTCTAGGAAAAAGCCCACAGCAGAACACCTAAAGCTTATCTTGATGTAGTACGTGAACACATCCAAGTTTCCACTGCTTTCTTCTTTCTTTCTTGTTTTGTTTTTCACTCCCGCAGTTCGCTGAGAACTCCCAGAGCCGACCCTGTCAAACTTGGTCTAAAATTGTTTAAGTACATTGGACGTGATTTCCTTCTCATAACAAAAATAGAGACAAAATCCCAACAATCATATCTTGGTGATGCTTAATGAGCCCTTTCGGATCCTTGACAATATACCACTAATATGGTGCTTTGCGTCCTTTGAAACATACCAGAGTAGACTCGTGGAAATAGTAACACAAAAGCGAGGCCTCGCTGACACCCTACGGTCAGCACAGTTTATACATTTTCATGCCAGTTACTCTCACAACACTCAATCTGCTACGCGGGCCAAAATTGTGCCTTGTGTTCGCGGGGGAGGGGAGACAAAACGAGAGATGAAAAATGAGTCGGGTGTACGAGTAATCGCCTGCTCTGGAGACACGTGGAGCCTGTCTGGAGAAGAGATACTGGGTTAAGGTGGGGTTGGAGGTATGTCATCAATTTGAGCTTGGCACTAATGGTTCAAAATAAAGACGAACACCCCGCTTTGATCTTCGTGGCCTGTTCACTAGACCTGCTGCTAAAGATAACGATCCATGCAGGTTACTGTAATCTTAGCCTTAAACCGCTCAGGAGGAGGACAGGAGAACAGGGGAAGAATATCTACATTTTAATGGAATGTAATTTGCAGTGAGTATTCGAAGGTGGGCTGCTGATAAAGCATCGTGTTTGAGGAAAAACAAGACGAAAAAGGCGTGCGGAGAAAATTTCTACGAATAGTGGGAGAAGAAAAAAAAACTAGGCGTTTGCGAGTTGTGCCTGAGGGGTGTGGAACGTGCTGGGGCCTGCTGCATTATAAAGACAAGCCCTACACCCAGCCAGCTGTGCTGCACACAAAACTGCAGGAATGAGGGCACCATGAATGGCTTTCACTGTGTGACAATGACTGCAGCATTCAGTGGAAAGGCAACGGTCAGGGGTCTCAGCTGCAGAGATGCAGCACCGAGTGTGTGTGTCTGTGTGCGTGTGTACACTGAGAAATTACCCAGGAATGTGAGGATACATGCCAAAGACAAAGAATTTGCATTCTCCTCGCCCTCTGAAGAAATATCACAATCCCATCAAAAAGCCTGTCCCGACAGCCACACTGGATAGAACTAATTAAAGTCTTGTGATCGGCTAAAGATGCTTTTTCTTTTCCCGCTGATGCCAAGGGAGAACTGTTAGGACTGTGTGATATGGCTTGAAATTTCAATTTTCTATCATCTTACACATTCACTGGCTTTAAAAAAATTTATTTATAGATTTATATCTCAAAATAACAAAAAAAAAGAAACATTGTCGCGTACAGTTCACACATTCTTTCTGCTCTATTTAACCCTAACTTGAGACATGGATACGCACCCTGATGGCGAAGCATGAGCCAGAGAGGAATCTCAACTTTGGCCACAGACGCTCGACTTAAACTCAGCTACGACTTAATAAATACTTTACAAAAATAATGCAGGCTTTTTTTTTTTTTTACAATGAAGATCTGCCTCAGAGACACACAGTTAAATTACGGGGGGGTAAATGAATGAAAATGAAAACGTGTGCATGCTAAATAAACAATCAAGCGTACAAAAAAACCTGGATAACTGTGAATGACAAAGTTAAGGGAAACTGGGTAACACATTCCTGAGGGAGGTGTCATTATTCTATTACCACAGGTCTCTCCGATCCGAACGAGCCACACACGCACACAATCGACACGGGCACGATAACAATAACAGTTCTACAATGACAGTTTTCCCTTTTAAGAATATGAAGTCAGTCCTCCCTTTAGTAACCAAATCTCGAGTTACAATTGGCAACATAATTACTGACAAAATTTCATTTTCATTTATTAAAAGTGTAAAAACCAAATAAAAAAATAATCAGATAAAAAAGACGTGATATTTCACGCCTGGTTGTGATGATGTCGAGAGAAGTTCCTTGTGAGAAAAAAACAGGTTCTGACTCTGTTAGAATTCTTTGTGGTTCAATAAGAGCAGTATGTCTGTCCTCAGAGCATAAAAGTTCATGTGTTAATTGACCTAAAACAGAATTAAAAAGGGTTTCAGCGCCATTTCTGAGGTTTAGCTGGATATATGGGCAGTGTTTTTGCAGGCTAGAATTCCCTTGCCTCTTCAAACTGTTTGTAATAGTCCTCATCCTGAGGGTTTTCTGGACACGTCTGCCCATTGTTTGGTGGCCTTGCCTGGTTGTAGCGGCTCCAGTCACCTTTGCAGATGATCCAAGGCAGGATGTCCACCTTGTAGTGAAGGTCGGCAGAGAACTCGGTGCTGATTAGATTGGGTGCGCCGGCTCCTTTGCCGCGGGTGATGAGCTTCATGTTGTCGTCGTAGCAGCAGTGCTGCGCAGCCAGCGTGGTGGATTCAAGGGTCAGCATGGAGCGGATGCAGTAACGAGCCGTGGGCTTGTAGATCTCCAGCTTCTCTTTGGGACCGCTGGCGTCTTTCCAGC